CAGCCCAGTGCTCAACTGCTGCGCCACTAGGGGAGGCCCTCCAGGGCTTGGTTTAATGCTGGTGAAACTGGAAAAACTGAGCTCTGTGCTGTACTCTCTGGCCTTCACACTAGGTGGACATCTAAGCACACCAAGGGCTGATGTGATTCACCCACACTCCAGACAGAGGCAGTCCTGGGCATGATGACCCCACCGAGGGAGTCTCTGGAGGAGCAGAGACACCAGGTGAAAGGAGGGGGATTTGGTGCAAAGGGAGGGTAAAGGGAAGGGATGAGAGAAAAGGGCCTCTGTAGAGGCTGCAAATGATTCATTCATTCAAAACCTTTTTCATTAAGCATCAACCATGGGTCAAGCACTGTTCTAAGTACCTCAGATACATCAATGAGCAAATAGACAAAAATTCCTACTCAAATGGAGCTCACATTATCGCGATAAAATACCAAAAATACCTATAGTAAACAAAAAATTAAATATTATGTTGGAAGTTTCAAAAACTATGAGGGAAAAATAGTTCATGTTAAGGGGTATCAAGAAGGTTGAAAGTACTGTTTACGGTTTCCTATGGGTCGCTCAGAGTAGGAGTCACTGAGAGAGTGTGAAAGATTGAAGAAGGTTAGGGTGTGAACCATGTGACTGTCTAGGGACATGTGTTCTAGGTGGAAGGAACAACCAGTGCAAAGGTTGCAGGGAGGTCTTTAGAGTATTAGAGGAACAGCAAAAAGGCCAGTGAGGCCGTGGGTGAGACTGAGGCCACAGAGGGTCAAGTTGTTCAAGGTTTATAAAGACTGATTTCACAGGGCTTTGAGCAGAAAAGCGACATGCTCAAACTTAGTTTTAAAAGAATCACTCTGACTGTTGTGTGAGAATAAACAAGGCGCACAGGAGAAGCAGGAGACAGCGGGGGGGGGAAACTGCTGCCATCACCCAGAGACAGACCAGAATGGCTGGGGGTGGGGTGGGGAGCTGCAGTGAGCAGGGCTTGGATTCCAGATCTGTTCTGAAGCTAATCAATAGGATTTTCTGGTGAGCTGGACAAGGAGTCTGAAAGGAAAAACACAGTAAAGGTTGTGTCCAATGTTTAGCCTTGCTTGCCTCACAGAAGAGTGGGTTGAAAGAACAAGACTGGAGTTTAGGAGATGAATGAAGAGGTTCTTACATAATGCGTGATAAGATGAAGTGGGAGAGAACAAGGCTTGTGGTAGTACAGATGTAGACAAATTGGGTTGATGGATTTTAAAGGATGTGGTAAAACAGACAATAAAAAAATATATAAATGCTTCACAAAACAAAAGAACAAACAAAAGGAAAACAAACTTTTAGACTACAAAAACAAAGTAATTATTACTAAAAGGGATGGGGAGGTGGTGTATATGTATGCTGATATACAAGTCTGCACATGAAACCTACGTAGTTACTTTAATAAAAATGCTTCAGGTTAAGTATTTCATGGCATTTTCCTCAATAGCCATTCTCTCTCTCAATTGTGCAGAACGTCAGCTGAGTATATGTGTGCCAACTAAAGATTGCATTTCTCGGTTCTCTTGCAGTGAAGAGTGGCCTATGACGAAGTTTTGGCTCATCAGATGTGAGTGAAGACCAAATCGTGCCTTTAAAAGGCATTTCTCCTTCACAATGGCTTCACTGTGGAGTCCATGGTAGAGGCCAAAGCAGCCACCTTCAACCACAAGTTGTATGATACACACTGAGGAAGGCAGAGTGAAATAAGCAAGCCACTTGCTGACCGGTGACGGTCTACCAGGACTTGCTCACACAAGGAAGGCATATGCTTTTATCTTGTTTAAGCATCTGTATTTCGGGTAAACTCTCTTACAAATTTTCTAAACTGTAGTCTAAATAATGTAAGTTTCTTGAGCTGTTTCAAGTACAAAGCCTTACCATCAATGTTGCCAGTCCCATGAAGCTAGGACAGTATTTGACAGGGAAGGCTTTACTGTTAACTGCCTCTGGTTGTTAGTTCTTAAAATACCTGAAGACTGAGTTTTAATTTGCTGAGTCACTGATAAGATACTAAGTTTAGAATAAATTGCTGCTTGTGTAACTATTTTTTTTTTAAGATTTTATTTATTTTTGCATAGAAGAACCGGGGTGTAGGCCAGAGGAACAGGGAGGGGAGTGGTGAGAGGATATACCAGAGACAGTGCATGGAGCAGAACAGGCAGATCTACTGGAAGACACTGCTGAGGGGAGCAGCAGGCGAGACAGGAGAGGTCTGCTGCGCCATATGTGGGTCAGCTCCCTGGCCTGGGATCAACTCAGATTGTGGAGGTGAAAACATTGAAACGTAACCCCTACGCCACCAGGGAGGCCCAACTAATATGTTTTCTTTTTTAATAATCCATTACTTCTCTTTTAATCCAGGAGGCCTAATTGAGCATCACATCTAAAGACAAGGAAGACATATTTATCATATGCCTTTGGGGCATAAAACACCATCACCAACAAACTCCTAATTCTCCACACAACCCAGCCATCATCTCCTGATTGATGAGTCAAGTGAGAGACTCACCCCACCCGAAGGAAGATCAATTTCTAAGCTGGCATGAAACAAAGACATATACTTTAATTGAAGGTAACTCTTAGTTGTGTGAGAGTCTAATAAATCACCACTGAATTCAGCCACAGATGTGCAGCCACCACTACAGTGCTGGCCACTAACCTTCAATGTTCACTAATCCAAACACATCAAGTCTGCAGAAGGTGGTCACCCAAGGTTCTGAGAGCCTCACTGCATGAAAAACTCTGGTCACAATCACAGTGATCTGAATGAGCATCCTTCCATTCCTTCCGTGCCTGACTGGCCAGCTCAAGAGACCAAAAACCTGCAGAGAATCAGCTGAAGAAGGGCCAGTGGAAATTTATGACAAAAATCATCATCGTAGGCATATGGGTGGGTCAAAGGGGAAGGGTCAAAGGGAAAGATGATTCACACCCCTCCAGTCAAATGCCCTAAAGTCTGGGAAGATTACAGTCAAATATGTGTATTCCTCTGAATTAGCCATTTCTAGGCCTTTCTATAGGCAATGAGAGCAGGAGGCAAACTGTAAGGTAGTGATATTAAGGTTAATAAAGTTGAGAGGAAAGAGGTCTTAATGGAATTGAGGACCTGCATCAACTGACTTCAGGATGGTACAAACAATTTTCAACATCATGAGAAGCTCAGGTTCCCTAAATTTATGGACAACATCCTATTTATATCATTTAGGAGGACTGGGACAGGGGACAGAGCAAGACAACCTTTAGGGATCCACCAGCCCAAGGCTATAGGAAACACAGAAAAGACAAACATTCTAACCCTCCCTTTATTTTCTTAATTATTCACAAAGCAGCAGGTGCAGAGTGGTAGTATGATAGTAATTCAAGGCAATTATTGTCAAAATTACCAGAGTTTGCAGTGGGAATTTATTGTTTTGCTTTCTGGCATCCATCCCTCTTCTCCCTGATGACAGTGCATGGATTTATTGTGAGAACCACATCCCCTTTATTCTACAGCAGCTGAGGTGGGTGACCCAACCTTTAAACCCTATATTTATGAGGATGAAGCTGACATTACAGAAGAAAAGCAGAGCACTAGAGAGAGAACCTGCATCCTCAGGGGTGTCATCTAGACTGCTGGGTCAAGCCTTGCCTGCAACCCTTCCTCTAGATATTTTCAGTTAAAGAAATATTTTGTTTACCTAAGCCAGTTTCAGCTGAGTTTTCTAACACTTTCTACCAAAGTAATTCAAATTCATAAAACATTTTAAATAGTCCAAAGTAATAATATACCAAGGATTTAGGGTCTCTTCTAGGGGAGGTAAGAGGGTGATAGTTGGAAGCTGAGAGAAAGAATATTTTTCTTAGCTTCTATTAATTATGCAGGACATAGTAACAATAGTTAGCATCTATATAATTGTTCGTAGTTCTCAAAAATGCCTCATCACATGTATTTCCTCAATTGAATCTCACAACTGAGTCACAGAAATTATTACAATTTTATTTTGTGGTAATGATTTATCACGTTTTATATAGTTTAAATATGATTTTAAATTCAATGATTAACCTGATTATCACAATAATTCAATGAGGTGGGAACAGTGAGTCTGTCATAGTATTTACGTTAGGCAAAAGAAAGTCAAACCTCAGAGAAATTCTGTAAGATGCCTCTAACAAGATGTCCCAGTTACAGGTGGGATAGGGAGACAGGTCTCAAAGCTAGATCTCCTTTTTCCTGGGTTTTCACACACCCTTTGTTTCTCAGCTCAATCCTTTGAACCAATAACATTAACACTTACTCCAGAAAGAAATGTGCATGCTCTTAGGCACAATGCTAGCAAGGGGCTGCCCTTGATCAAAGTACCAAAGATCCAATCTGGACTCCAGTTCTCTGACCAGAGCTAGCTGGTGACCTTGAGCTCGTGTCCTTTGTCTTGTTTTCTCACTTGTAAAAGGAGAGGTTTTAATTACGATCTCTGCTGCCCCTTCAAGTTCTGTAATTCTAGACTTTCCTGTTCCTAGTCCCAAATTAATCTTTTCTTCAGAATAATAATTCAAACTTTAATTGCCATTTGCTCTCAGCAGTGTTGGGTACTAGCCTAAGAGCTCTACGTCCACTCTCTCTTTAAAACTCACACTATCCCTGAAAGAACTGTCTCTCCTTTACAAATAAGGAGCTTGGGCAGAGGTTAAATGAGCTGCCCAAGACCCGCAGAATTAGCACGAATCAGAGGACATCTGATCCCAGGCCAGCCTGGTGCGGGGACCTCAGCCCAGTCTATGCTGTTCTTGCAGGAAAAAGCGCGCTCCCCGCATTTCTGGCCTCCGGTCCCCACGCAGACCAGGGGTGGGGAGAAGCCACGCCGAGTGCACAGCCTCTCGAAGGCAAAAATGGAAAACCACCGGAAAGGCGCCTGCGAGGAGCCTTCCCCTAGCCGGGGCGGGGCGTCCTTCCTCGCCCGCCGGCGCCCTGGATCGGGACGACCCCACCCTTCGGGGGCCTTTACCTTGTTGAGATGCGGGTTCCGGGTCACGTCGTACCCGCGCTTCTTCATGGGCACGGGGCGCGGGCGGCCGGGCGTCGAGTGGCACCGGCGGGTGGGCGCGGGGGGCACCCCGAGGGCCCAGGCGCCGCGGGCCCCGCGGGGCAGGAGGGCCGGTCGCGCGCAGGTGCCCAGCGCCGCGCCCATGGTCCTCGTGCAGACCCGGTCCCGGGAGAAGCCAAGGTCAGGGGCACCTTCCGGCCTGGCAGCGCCGGGTGCGCACCGCTAGGCACCTGGCCGGACGCCCGGGCGCCGCGTCCTCGGGGAGAGTGCGGGGGTCCCCAAGGCTTCAGGGCGCCAATCCCGTCCTGCTCAGCCGCCACCTGCGCGCCTCCGCGCGCCCGCTGCGCGCAGGCCTGGCCGAGCGTGGGCAAAGCGAAAGAAAGCAGCACAGGAAGCAGATTCGGTGCGGGTGATACCCCGCGCCTCCCACCCGCACCCATGCCCGCAGGGAGAGGAGATTGCCAGGCACGCTGCCCCAGAACCTGCAGCCCAGCTCTATGGCTGGCCTGAGTCTCCTCCTGCCCTACCCGCCTAAGCGAAGATCTAGGCAGCTCCTTTGTGGGCAGGAGGGAGAAGGAGCAGAGGTCGCTTGTCCCTCTCCTGCCGCGGGCTGCACGGTGCAGGGGCCTCCGGGAGCACTAGGCTGGTGCACTAGGGAAAGAGAGGTGTTGGGACCCACCGTTTGTTAACACACGGGGTTTGCCTTGAAGGGGCGCCTCTTAAGCGACCGCATGTGCCCCTCCAGTGACAAAACAAAGCTTAGAATGTCCCCGAAGCCTCTTCATATTGACCAGCTGAATGCACAGAGGTGCTTAGGAATTTAGGGATCCACATGCCCCTTTACTATTCTCACCATTCGGGGAAGGTCCTGGCTGCCGGATTCAGAGTAGAAATCCTCAGGCTCCTGGTGTTCAGTATTGCATCACTCTGGCCAGTACAATAGCCATCAGCCACATGTGGCTCTATAAAATTAAATTAAATTAAATGGACTAAAATTAAAATCTAGCTTCCTCAGCCACACTAGTTACATTGTGAACGTTCAAGAGCTGCCTGACCATACTGGCTATGGAATTGGACCATAGAGATTGGAACATTTCATCTTTGCAGAAAGTTCCATTGCATTGCTGATAAAGGGCTCACAGTTACTAAGAGAGCTTTTGGGGACTCAAGGGGCCCTGCCATGGATTGCTGGGACTAGACAAGTACCTTGGGGTCCATCTAGTCCCTAATTTAATTTTTTTTTAAGGATTTATATATTTATTCATGCATTCAAGAACTGGGGTACAGGCCAGAAGTGGGGGGGGGGTGAGAAGATTCACCAGAGACAGAGTGGGGAACAGAACAGGCAGACTGACTGAAATACACTGTGGAGGGGAGCAGCGGGTGAGGCAGGAGAGGTCTGCTGAACCATGTGGGTTGCTCCCTGGCTGGCGGGGCATTGAACTTGTGCTGCAGTAGCTGCAGATAGCTTCAGAGTTCTGACACTTACCTGTTGCACCACCAGGAAGGCCCCCCCTAATTTAATTTTAAATTTTCTCCACACAGTAGCCAAGAGACTCCCTTGAAAGCAAACGTTTTCTGTGGAATAAAATCCACACTCTTTTGGGTGCCTACATGTTATTCTAAAATGTGACTACAAACTTCTCAGGCTCATCCCACTCCGTTCTACCCCTTACTGAACTCTAGTCACACTTGCTCCTGTTTCTTCCCCAGAGATGCCACTCCATATTTGTCTATTTTTGAAATGCTCCTCTCAGATCTCCACTAAGTGGTCAGCTCCTAGACTTTCTCCACTCCATCCAAGCTGGCCTCTGCTAGGAATTATATAGTGAAGAATGTTCCCTTCAAAGAACTTACACAGTCAGTAATTGGCTGTTTTTGTAATTGTTCATTGCCCATCTCTCCCCATGCACATTAATGTGCCATCACAGGCTAGCTCAGTGATAGGCGGGAAGTGACAGCTACTTTCATGAGACTTGTGACCCTCTCAGGCCAACTACTGGGCAGATGACGTGGTCCTGCATTACTCCCCTTCAAGGCCCGCCCAAGGACAGCCCTCCCAAATGTGTGCCCTGACCGTGGTCTGAGCACAAAGCAGGAATCATCATGATTCAGGCCGAGGGCGGCCTGAATTTGAGTTCCCTCCTCGCCTCAGTCTCTCCCGATTCCAGTCCAGTCTTCACGGTGCTGCTCTACTGATCTGTATAAAAATAGTACTCTTCAAAACATATTTGAACATACCCCGGGGGGCCTCCCTGGTGGCGCAGGGGTTAAAGACAGCACTATCCAGCTACTGTCAGCCACCACAGCACAAGTTGGATCCCCTGGCCAGGGAGCAACCCATATGGTGCAGCAGGCCTCTCCTGTCTTGCCTGCTGCTCCCCTCAGCAGTGGATTTCAGTAGATCTGCCTGTTCTGCTGCTCACTCTCTGGTGAATCCTCTCAGCCCCCTGTACCTCTGGCCTACACCCCAGTTCTTGTATGCGTAATAGATAAATCTTAAAAAAAAAAAAAAAAGAAAGAAAGAAAATGCCCAGTAAGGGAATGGATGGGAAAATCAGTGTGGTTGAGGAGGCATAAAACCCGGAGGCCACACTTGTCTGGACAAAGCGGGACCGTCTCCTACTCCACAGGGAGCTCCCAAATCAAGAAGCCTGGAGAATCACCCCACACCTGCCCTAGGAGAGGCTCCTGAGCGGCTCTGCCTTGAGACCTGCCTCCCAGGTGCACCTGGGGGTCTGAGCAGCCGGGTGTGCCGTGGTCCAGGAGCGTGGTCCTCGCCCAGGAAGACGATGAGTTTCCAGAAAAATGACAAGGCCCATGGGTTGACCATGGATCCATGTCTTGCAGCAGGGGAGAGAGACGTGGTGGGGGGGGGGATTGTATGTGCATTTTTTGGAGGGAGGGTCACAGCTAAGGGGAGAAATAGCTGTAGAAAGATGACCCAGATGTCAGAAAATAGAGGTGGGGGGGAGAAAGAAAATACCTGGTGGGGGTTGGAGATGGAAGTAAAATGCAAGTTTCCCGGCTCCGTCAAGGGAGATTCTAATTCAATAGGGTTTAAATGCCCGGAGTCAGTTTTCCTCTTGGAATGCAGATTCCTATAAGCTCACAGGTCATTTAAAAAAAAATGAAACAATTTTGATTCATAATTTTGGATGCCTGAAACCAAGAATATCATCGACACTCTTCTCTCTGCACTGTTTTTTTTTTATTTGTGCATCTCTCTGCCAGTTAGCAGACATCTTAAAGGCAGAGACTGTGTGTGTCTGTTTCCATTTTTGATACCTCGCACATTATCCACTTATCAAAAAGTGAACATTTACTGCAGTCTACCTTCTCTGGATATATTGACCTTTCCCTCCTTGGAGGACATTTAATGGGGAACCTCAGTGACTTGAAACTCACTTAGAAACCGGAATGTAAAGGGCAAAGTTTCCCAAATAAGCCAAAACAATTTTTATACATTCAGTCACTGCCACACATTCAGTTTACATCAAAGGATCACCCCATGTCTCAAGTGTAACTTCATTCTCTTAACCCAAACATAATTCTAACAATACTGTTTTTCTTTTGAGTGTGCTTAATCTTTATTTAGCCAAGATAAAGAAAGGTGCTACCAGAGGGTTCACCAGGGGCAGCCGCAGAAGGCAGAACAAGAGGAGGCGTCTGCTCTGCTCTCAGATTGCTCAGGGGCTTCCTCCAGGTTGTCCTCCTCTGCTGGGAGTGCTAATGCCGCCTCCACCGGCAGAGAGGGGGAGAGAGGAAGCAGCGGACAAGCAAGTCTACTTTAGGGAAGTGGCATGGAAGTGGCCCACATTACATCTACTTAGAATTTTTGGTGAAAACCAAGTCACATGGTCACGTCAAGCTTCAGGGTCGCCTGGAAAATATGGTCTCTGGCAGAAAAGGCATGTATGTGCTCTAGCAAAGTGTGCTGAGGAGGCTGCTACTAAAAGAAGAAGGGGAGTATAGTTTCTGGGGACTAGTAACTACAAATCTAACTATAATACTTACTTTCTACGCAAGTGCTTGGCATAGAGTTGAGGCTCAGGAGCTGTTAGCTATTACTGGCGCGTGTGGTTTCCATCTTGGTCTCACAGCAACTTCCTTACTTTTATTGCTAACCTAAGATTACAGAGGCCAGGTTCAGAGCCATGAAAACTTCCAGAACTTCTCTCAACCCTGCATAATCCCGAACAACTCTGAGTTCCTTAAGCTTGCCAGTCCTGTGGTCCAGACCAGCGTTAGAGAGAAATAGTCTTCATAATTTGTCTTGGCCCTTCTGTCTGCACATCCCATCTACTGACTTCTGCCATCTGTGACGTTCTGCTCTTGGCGCTGCAGCAAAGTGTCTCATTCCTCATCCTGGTCAGAGTTACCACTTTCCTAGTGCATTTACAACATTTGCTTTCCCATTTGGATTACATTTTCCCATTTGGATTACATTCTGTCGCCCTGCTAAGTGGAGTTTTATTTATTTATTTGTTTGTTTGTTTATTTGTTTATTTATTTACTTATTTTTGTACATTGTTTGCTTGCTTTTCTCAGGTGTAGTCCCCATAGAATTTCCAACACCAAGTCACCCCTGCACCATCACCACAGTCCTTTGTGTTCTTCCTGCCTCGCCCTGGTCTCTTTCCCTCCCGCTCCCCTGCAAAATGTCTCTGATTTGTACTTGTCTTTTTATTGTTTGGTTTTGTTGTGTTTTTTGTTATTATTATTATTAGTAGTAGTATTTTCCCCTTGGTCTCTCATTTGTTTCCACTATATTCCTCCTATAAGTGAAACCTTTTGATATTTTTCTTTTTCCTTCTGACTTATTTTTTCATTAACATATCATTGCATCTCCAGTACCTGTACCTGGCACAGTATTTGGCATTAAGGATGCACTTGTTTATTAAATTTGAAAAACTGATAGAAATCAAATTAGTGCATAAACTTGTTTTTTCTCCATGTCCCACTTTTTTTTTCTGAATTTATCTGAATTTCACTTTCTTTTTTTAATTTTATTTTTATATTCCCCATACAATTGCAACCCCCTTATTTGACCCCAATCCCTCCCCCACACCCCATAGTGTGTCTCTGGTTCATAGTTGTTTGTTGATTTTGATTTTTTTCTTTCTTATAGTTATTCTTTTTCCTGGTCCCTTATTTAGGTTTTCTAGATTCCTGCTATGAGTGAGACCAGCTGGTATTTTTCTTTTTCTTTCTGGCTTATTTCACTGAGCATGATCCCTTCCAGTGCCATCCATGTTGCTGCAAATTGCATGTGTTTATCCTTTTTGAATGCTGAGTAATATTCCATGGTGTATATGTACCACATCTTCTTGATCCAGTCATCTATTTTTGGGCATTTGGGTTGTTTCCAAAGCTTAGCTATTGCAAATAGTGCTGCTATAAACATAGGGGTGCAGGTGCTCTTTGGAATTAATGTTTCTGTCCTTTGGGTAAATACCTAGGAGTGGAATTGCTGGGTCATATGGAAGCTCTATCCTTAGTAGGTTGAGGAATCTCCACACAGCTGTCCATAGTGGTTGACCAGTTTGCACTCCCACCAGCAGTGCAGGAGAGTTCCTTTTTCTCCACATCCTCCCCAACATTTGTTGTTGCTAGTTTTTTTGATATGTGCCATTCTCACTGGTGTGAGATGGTATCTCATTGTAGTTTTGAAGGGAATGGAGGCATCACTCTCCCAGATTTCAAACTATGCTATAAAGCCATAATAATCAAAACTGCATGGTATTGGAATCAGAACAGACACATGGACCAATGGAACTGAATAGAAAACCCAGAAATAAACCCACAGATTTATGGTCAACTAATCTTTGACAAAGGAGCAAATAATTTGCACTGGAGCAAAGAAAGTTTGTTCAATAAATGGTGCTGGGAAAACTGGGTCACTACATACAAAAGAAGAGTGCATAAACTTCTAAGGACTGAACTTGATTGAAAGCAAATTTGATTCAGTGTTAAAAGGTCATCAAAGCCCTTAAGTTAGAGTTTTTTGTTCAAGTAGCTATCTAGAATCAGCTTTTGTCTTCTGTATGCAGATTTTAATGGCCATACCCATGTATTTTTTTTAAAAGAGGTGCAATAAAATTCACTATTTTTGATAATACCATTGCTTAATGAATGCATGATATTCCACAAAACATTTTATGTTCATGTACTTATTTCTCTTGTCAGATGTATGATGTGCAAATATTTTCTCCCAATCCATCTTTTTGTTTTGGCAATGGTTTCTTTTGAGGTACAAATTCTTTTTAGTTTGGTGTTACCCCACTTGTTTATTTTTGATTTTGCTTTCCTGTCATAGCAATCTATATTTTGTAGCACATCACCTATTTTCTATAAAGTATTTTATGGTTTCAGTTATCATATCCAAATCTTTAATCCATTTTGAATTGACTTTTGTGTATGGAATTAAGTTTGCATCTAGTCTCATTTTTCTTTTTCCTTCTCATTTTTTTTTTTTTTTTTTTTTGCATGTGGCTATCCATATTTTCCAACACCATTTCCTTTCTCCATTGTATAATTCTGGTTCTTTTGTCAAAGAGTAACTGTGCATATTTTTGTGTGTTTATCTCCGTGCTTTCTATTCTATGCCATTGTTTTGTGTTTCTGTCTTTGAATATCACACTGTTTTGATTACTGTTGCTATGTAGAATAGTTTGAAGTCAGGGACTGTGATGCCTCCATTTTTTGAATTTTTTAAAATTTTTTTTAAAGATTGATTTATTTGTGCATATAAGAGCTGGGGTACAGGCCAGAGGTGTGGGGGGTGAGAGGATTCACCAGAGACAGAGTGGGGAACAAAACAGGCAGACTGACTGAAATGCACTGCTGAGGGGAGCAGTGGGCAAGACAGGAGAGGTCTGCTGCACCATGTGGTTCACCTCCCTGGCCAGCCGGGGATTGAACTCTCCCTGCAGTGGCTGTGGATAGCTTCATTGTGCGGTGCTTAACCCCTTGCACCACCAGAGAGGCCCCTCCATTTGTTTTTAACAGAAATCTTTAATTCACATTGCTGCTATATTACTTGGAGAAACTTCAACTCTAATATTTCGTTACACCAAAGGAGAATGGTGAAGAACATTTGTTTCCTTCCTGCCCTGGTGCCTACCACTCTAAACATATGGCCTGCACTCTGGGAATTTTCCCAACAGTTTCCTCTGCTCCCAGGACCCCTATCCTTCCACCACAATTCCATTCAAATACCAAGTCCTCCAGCAAATGTTCCTCAATTCCCCAGCCAGTGGCTCTGCGCCCCTCCTGAATGGTCCCTAAACTCTGCTTTTTGTGTCTTTCCTATTATATTTTTATAATATGAAGCTCTGTGATTTGTCTTCTGTGAGTCTCAAAAGGGCTCACAGAGGTTAAAAACAACAACTTTGGACCCAGATAGTCCCGACTTGACCAACAATGAGTATGTCCATAGGGATTTTATATGACCTCTTTATACTCCACCACTTTCGTGGATAAAACCGAGATTCTAATGTTAGTTCCACAGGGTTTTTTGATGGATTTATTTATATGTTTATTCATTTATTTGTTTAAAGTGCATTACACTGCTCTTAGTACATACATGCCAGGCACTGTTCTAAGGATTTATAAATATTAACTCATTCAATTTCATAATACTTCTATGAAATACTGCACTGGTTATTCAGCTGTTTCTTTCAACTCTAAGCCTTTCTATAATCTGATTTCTGACAGGAGTTTAGACACTGCAAACCAGTTCTTATTCAGCAGCAGGGTTCATGTTAATTTCTGCCAATAGGGGACACTAGAGGGAGAGTGAAGCAGTGAGGGGAGATTATTTGCCTTTCCATTTACTTGCAATCATTTCCTTTCTCTTTCCCCCACCCCCTATCCCCAGGCCCAGCCATAGTTCTTCACCCACCATCAGCCTGGTCCCAGCCACTAGAGTCCTTGCACCTTCTGGAACAAGCCTCACTGGCTCCCTGCAAACTTGAGAGAGGCCTCTTCCTCCTTGTGTCCAGTCCTGATGGCCTAGTCTCTTCCTGTGTTCCTGCAGCCTCAGGGATAGGAGCTGCTTCTGTGTCCAGTTAATTCCTAGAGTCGCCTCAACATTCCCTTCCCTATTGTTCACCCCTGTAATGCATGTGAAACCTGTTCTTTTACATTCTTTTTGCTGCGATGTGCCTCTGGGGTTGGTCTTCTTGACTAGACCCTGTGCCCTTATAGCTCAGCCAATAAAGCATCAGACTTTTAATCTGAGGGTCCAGGGTTCAAGTCCCTGTTCGGACACCACTTGTGAGCCTCTAGTGGGCTCTGAGACCTGGGACGCTGATCTTGAAGAATCCACCAGACGGGGTCTGCTGTGCAAGCAGTGGTTCTCTATTTTTGTCAGCATGGTTATACAGGAATTATGAACAAGGACATCTGTGTTTTATCATAAGTCAGAGAAAGCCAAAACAACCTTGCCTCGCACGCCATGTACGTGAGCTCATACACACCACGTAGGTGAGCCCTTGGGCATATTGGCCATGCCTGTCCTTGTGAGCTTCTGTTGATAAGCTATGACCGAGGAGACCTCCAAGGTGAAGCAAGTTCCAGGCATCCTTCCCAGGCTGTTTTCCACCCTGACACACGTGAGTTTTGTCAGTGTTTCTGTCAGCCCTTTCCCTTGCCCCCCTCAGGACGCCTCTCCATCACCCTCGTGCAACACCCTGCCTGACAGAGATTGGCTCAACTATTAACTGAGTTTTGTAGATGAGGAAACAAAACCTACTGACATCAAATAATTTGCCTGAAGTGATCAGGATTTCAACCCAGGCTCCAGATGTCACGGGGGACACAAGGCACAAAGGACTTAAATTTGGGGAGTGGGCGGCCAGGTCTGATGTGGAGCGAGCACTAAACATACAGTAGTCACCTGATCTTCAGTCATCATTGTCACTGGCACTATTCCAGCTTCCATCTCAGATTATGTATTAAATGCACACTGAACTGGACCCGAGGCACCTGACCAGGTGGGCCAGAGGAGCCTGAGTTAAAAAGGCCATGGAGGAGCAGGGGGCACGAAGAAGCCTCCGTATCCAGTCCCTGCGACCCTTCTTTAGAGTTGTTTCCAGGGTAACAGAGTTCCCTTCCTTCTTATC